AGGACTACAGGACCTTAGAGATCCCTTGTAACTAGTGGCCAAAAAAGTATACACTCAAACGTCTTGAATCCAGAATTTAACATGATATGCAGCCTTCCAGTACCTGAAGGGGCTACAAGGAGGCTGGGAGGGACTTTTTACAAGGGCTTGTAGTGACAGGACAAGGGGGAACTGGTTTAAATTGAAAGTGGGGAGGTTTAGATTAGATATCAGGAAGAAGTTCTTCCCGGAGAGGGTGGGGAAGCACTGGAACAGGTTGCCCAGAGAAGCTCTGGATGCCCCATCCCTGGAAGTATCCAAGGCCAGGCTGGATGAGGCTTTGAGCAACCTGGTCTAGTGGAAGGTGTCCCTGCCCATGGCAGGGGGGTGGAACTGGATGGTCTTTAAGGTCCCTTCCAATCCAAACCGTTCTGTGATTCTATGTATCTTCAAACATGAGTTAAAACTCATCAATCACAATCTGTGACTGCTGTACAGTGATGAAACACTAATTTCAGACAAAAAATATGTTATATTTATTTGAGAAGTCATGTTGAATTCCCCTGTTTTCCCTGGGTGATTAAATAATACTACTGATAAGTTAATTTATTACTTATTTCTGTAGGACTTCAGAGACTCCATCTTCCCTCCTTCATTAAGGTTACAAGTAACTACCACTAATACAGCGATCTGGGGGCAGAAAACTGGAAATTTCTTTCTGGTTCATTGAAGAGTCCTTCATTTTTCACTGCATGCAGGCTAGATGTATTGCACAGAAGGCAGTTTGCCCTTCGTCATTTGAAGACTAGACATTTGATAAGAACTCAAACAAATTGCACCTCGTCATGCCAATTTTGGCTATAAGGAGTTGACCGTGACCAGCACAGCAGAACAAAGAGACAGTACCCTCCTCTACCACATGAAGCGAGATAAGCTGGGTATATTTACCCTGCAGTCACTGGGGTGTAGCACAGATACACCATAGTTAGCATTAAACTACTTCACACAGCACTGAGCCGAGCAAGACGCGATAGATCGGCTGCATTTATCCACCCGGATGAGTCTGTCGTACGCCACAGATGGAGCAGAGCGGGCATGCTGGGACATGCAGTCACGCTAGGAACATGTTTCCCTCTTCTGTGGTAGAGAGGCTAAAGCCTCCCTGCGAAGCTACCTGCTTCTCACTCTGATGTCCCTCTGAAATGATGCCCGTGGTCTCACCTTGTTGCAATAGAGGGTTCAGCTGGTAAGAGGAAAGTTGCGAGTTCCTGTCGCCACCCCCATGGAGCATGTTGCGTGACAGCCAAGGTGCAAGTGCCTGAGCCTGCTTCATGAACCGATGCCGTTCCAGTACTGTGAAAGAAGAAAGAGAAGGCTTACAGCAGCTATCCAGAGAGCACAGCTTGCAGAGCACATACCAGTTTGCTTGATAGACTGCAGCCTTTGGAAGTGATCAGACATGGGAAATTCACAGAATGAAAACCTCGCTCCACCCTACGACAGAGGTAAAATGGAGCACGGGAAATTCCAGTATGAGGTTGTACACCTTCTAAAGAATACCTAAACCCGAAGAGTTACTGCCTGACATCCAGGGTCCTGTCCCAGCAACTGGGAGCAAAAGGCCCTGTCATTAAGTACGCAGCACATAACCGAACGCCAGACTTCTACGTGCCCTGTCGTTATGACTACAGTTGCAGAAAGGTGGGAAATAACGTTTCATACACCAAGACATACCACACTGTTGTCTCGCTCTTAAAACTCTTTCAGCTCATCATTGGTCCTTTCCCCTTTTGGCTTTCATTTACAGCTAAACGACACCTTTGTTTGCCACCTTCATGTAGGCTCTCTCCAGATCATATTTTCCACACCATACTCCATAATTTCCTCTCTGTTCCACAAATAGGGCACTCAGAGGTGCATTGTCCAGCTCTTCCCTTTCTAGTCCTTCAACCGCATCGGTAATTTACCTCACCATGACTGCTAAATTAAAATCCTTAGGACAGTGTGGTCAAACTGGTGAACAAACTAAATTTCCTGCTCTCAACAGCAATGTTCAGTGTGCCAAAGGATCAAAGCCAGTGAAAGTTTCTTTCTGTCACTGCTTTTCCACTACTGCTAACTCCAGACCCCCACCTGTGGGGTCAGGCTCCAATTCCACTTCACCTTCTTCAAGCACTTCCCTCTCACCTCCTCTACAGAGACAACCTCACCATCCCCATCTTCAAAACCATTGCTCACTGCAGCTTCTTTTTTGGGAATACCTAAAAACACCTTACAGAAATTTACTCCTTCTACCACCGACAATCAAAACTCAAGTTCACAAACAAGAAAATTCTGCAAGCCCCAGACCTGACAAAGCCTGACTCTGCATAGTTTGTCTGTCATTACTGGGTGAAGCTTTTCTGCAATGAGACCTTAGCAAAATCTCTCTTATATGGTTTCTCTGGAGTTTCAGGAGCAGCAGGCTTTTACTGCAGCCTCTTCTCTGGTCAGGCATGAACACAACGTTCCTGGCTATACGGGTCAGGAGACAGATAGGAACGTAATTGCCTTTGAGACTTTCACCCCTCTGATAAATCTGGCTGAAGTGGGCTGATGAAATTAAAAGCTATTGGAGGGAGAGAGATAGGGGCTAGACAGGCAGGTTGACTGCGTAAGTCTTGCTTCTTTAAGAAACCAGGCTACAGCTAAGCTCCAATTAATTCTCTCCCCTGAGTTCATCTGCAGCAGGCAGCATTTAGACTTCACGCTCTTTGGGAACGAGCTCTCCATTTCAGGTTATTAAACATGTCCTCCTTTAGCTGTTTCACTGAATTTAGACAGACCACCACTTGCAGCATGACACGGACTGACCATGCCTCTCAACACATCCTTCCCTTCCCCTACAGCTCATTCAGCTCCACTTCGTTCTCCACTCCAAGCTCCTTCCCCATCCCCAGCCTGGCTCCAACCAGAGTGAACTACAAAGCTGGGAACTTCAGGGTTTTTAATCCTAATAATCTGCTTTTTCTTCACAACTGTGTGGCCTGAGGTAGCAGCTTTCAGGCGTTTTATGTCAAACTTCCTTCATTTTTTTCCCCCAATGGATTTTCCTCCAGTACAGGTTTCAAAGTTGAAAGAGGAAAGAAGAAAATCAAAAAGGATAAAAATAAGGGAAAGGCCTTATCTGTTCGTCTTCCGCTCCTCCAGTTACCACCTTGAGAATGTCCTAGAACCTGCGGAGCGCACATCCCTGGGACCCCAGTCTTTGCCTGAGGAGTGAAAGGCCCAGCGGCTGTGGTCCTACGTACTTAGGGCTCTCCTTCTTAGGGTATGAAGGCAGTCACTAGGACCAAAGCCATCCTCTCCCTGTAATTCTCTGATCTCCCCCTACAGCTGAAGAACTGCAGAATTCCCCCTGGGCTTCCTTCACTACCTCCCTCCTTTCTCCCTTACCCAGACACTTTGCCTTCCCGTTTGAACACAATATATATAGAACGCTGAACGTGGTACTCTGGTTCCCCACCTGCAGCATGGAAGCAAGGCTACAGATCTCTTTTCAAAGTGAACATATTTATCTGAGGAAGGCCAGATTCACCCTAGTTCCAAAACTCATACCTGCTGTAAAACTGACAGGATGTCATGCTGTTCCCACCACTTACTCCCTGCTGAGAGAGGTTGTTCTTCACCTTTGACGAACTTTACAGCTGCTGGGCCAATTATCCAATTATAAAAAAAATATTTTCCAACCTATTCAGACCCAGGTGCAGGGATATCCTATTTTGCACCAATTTATTAATGGAAAATGTCCACAGTAGAAAAGGAACTAATAGGAACAGAAGGAGGTCATATGTGTATTTACCCTGGTGGGCTTTTCAGAGAGTTGTCCCTGGGGAATGTAATTGGCTTGCTCCTGGGGCATGTTTAGTATTTCTGTACACCAATTCTGAATTACTCAAACAATGCACTTCTTTTATTACTAGGTTGAAAATGGTGTTAGTTAATGACCTGACTGCAACCACCCAGAATTACCTGGCCTGGGCGGCACCTCAGCTTGTTCAGCAGATCCAGGCTACCCTCTAGCGGCCGGTAACTGGGAAGAAGTCGCCCGTACTCGGCTCGCACTGTCACTGCTAAGACTTGGTGGAGGATTTCTGCCTTCCCTTCAGCTGTGTGGAACTGTTACTCCTCAGGACTGTTTAAGATACACCCTCTATCTACCTCCTTGTGGATTTTAAGGCCTCCCATTCATTTCTTGGAGTCCAAGAAAGTCAGTCAGGGGGAGGATGAAGTGCAGAGAAGGTGTACTGGAGGAGCAGAGCGGGCACAAGGTTCCCTTGCAAAGTGGATAGAGAGTAGGCAGCGAGGATGGGAATTACAGCCACAGAATCCAGCAGCCAGGCAAGGAGGCTGGACTCCTCTGTACCTTCTTTCATGAAAGGTTTTGGGAACCCTGCAAGAATCCCTCCTACCTATCCTCAACAGGAGGCAGGAAGACAGCAGCAGCAGTCTGTGGTGTGCTATCATCTACGGCACAGAAAACCAAAACAAACCTCACACATATTCTGAATCCCATTTTTGGTGAGAATTAGGAAGTCTGGAGGTGTGAGTCTTTCATCTCCATCACCTCTCTCTCCCTTCGTGGAAATTATTTTTTCTGCCAAATTTCCACAGCCTCCTCAACACCACGCATTTTACTTGACAGCTTGTAAAGCCTTCAGAAAGGGTTTTGTTTTCTTTGGCTTTTTGCAAATGAGAGGGATGCTCTGTTTGCTCTTCGCAAGGGCGAAGCAAATTAAGCTTAAATCTATGAGAATGACTGGCAAACTGGTAACAACAGACGAGGAGGCAGCTGAGGCACTCAACTTTTTTGCCTCAGCCTTCACTGGCAACCTCTCTTCCCACACTTCTTGCAGAGGGACTGCAAGACAGGGACTGGAGGAGCAAAGTCCTTCCCCCTGTAAGAGAAGATCAGGCTTGTGAGCACCTGAGGAACCTGACCATACATAAGTCTATGGACCTGACGAGTGGCATCCCAGAGTCCTGAGGGAATTGGCTGATGTAGTTGCCAAGCCACTCTCCAGTCACCATATCCTGGGCTGTATCCAGAGAAGCGTGGCCAGCAGGTTGAGGGAGGGGATTCTGCCCCTGTACTCTGCTCTGGTGAGACCCCACCTGGAGTGCTGCGTCCAGCTCTGGGGCCCTCAGCACAGGAAAGACATGGACCTGTTAGAGTCGGTCCAGAGGAGGGACAAGGGGATGGAGTACCTCTCCTGTGAAGAAAGGCGCTGAGAGTTGAGGCTGTTCAGCCTGGAAAAGAGAAGGCTCTGGGGAGACCTTATTGTGGCCTTTCAGTACTTAAGTGGGGCTTATAAGGAAGATGGGAACAAACTTTTTTAGCAGGGCCTGTTGATATATGACAAGGGGTAATGGTTTTAAACTAAAAGAGGGTAGTTTTAGACTAGTTATAAGGAAAAAATTTTTTACCATGAGGGTGGTGTGACACTGGCACAGGTTGCCCAGCGAGGTGGTAGATGCCCCATCCCTGGAAACATTCAAGGTCAGGCTGGAGGGCGCTCTGAGCAACCTGATCTTATTGAAGATGTCCCTGCTCATTGCAGACGTGTTGGACTAGACCTTCAGAGGTCACTTCCAACCCAAACTGTTCTATGGTTTATAGCATTTTTGCAGGCAAAGGGAAAGGAGAAATTGTTCATAAATCCTCTCCTTGTAGCATCTGGGGAATAATCTGGTGATGTCAGTGATAAATAAATGTATTTGTTGCATTTTGTTCTTGTGGGACTGTGTAAACTGTAGGGGGGTGATTCCACATTGTGTTGCTAAGCTTTAGTTGTAGGAATACAGAGGTTATATGACCTCAGAAGCCAGAATGGGCTGCAGAGTACTTACTGCTGCTAAAAACTTTGCACAACAAAGTTTCTCTTGACCCTCAAAACCTCAGAATGCATTTGCAGGGTTGACCACCAAGACTCCCTTCTCTCTGCTCACTTCCTTCCCCAAAGCAAAACAAACAAAACCTTTTTCTTGTGGAAGAAGCGGCTCTGAAAATAACATGAAGATAAAAACTCCAATTTTTACATAATTACCTCTCAGAGAAACACATGAAGGTTGGGCCAGTTTGGAGAGTAGTACCAAGACATTTGTGTGCCTTCCTCACATGCATAGGCCTATGAACTACAAGACAAGAAAAGAAAGTCCTGAGCTACTCATACAAGGGAGCTGATCGTGCCCTGCATGACATGAAAGAAGTTGGTAGCAAGGTGTGAATAAGGAGGAACTTCTGAAAGTAGGACACAGAGGAGCAAGATGGGCTCCATGTATCCTAGCTCCCCTCCTCTAAATTCAAAGTGTAGGTGCTGAATGGGAGGGAGAAAGTGGAGCTCAGCAAGCTCCCAGTCAAGCTTGTGTCTTGACAGAAGCCATGAACGGATGCACATTTGTTTGAACCTCACCTTCCTCGTTGCAGCAGCACCGGGTTGGGCAGCAGACACACGGGATGTGGCAGCAGCAGTACTGGGGGCAGCACTGGCACCAGCATACTCCAATCAGCAGGAGGAGGAGGAGGCCACCAAGAACGATGAGGAGTACTGTGAGCCAGTCTGTGGGAAAACCAGAGAGAACAAGAGGATCCTGACGTACGTGGGCATAGTAAGTTAGTGATGTCTCCACTGCTGGAGACATCTTGGGGTAGGGAAGAAGAGAACAGGAGGAGATATCAGCCACCCAAGCAACAAACCACAGGCACTTACGGAGAACAATCAGCTTAACTTCTTTGTCCGCATCACCCGAGGTATCTCCTGGTGCTTCCACAGCGCAGTAGTACACGCCATGGTCCCACCACATGACCTCACTGATGACAAGGTCTGCTCCTGTGGGAGAGGGACTGAGAGGTCAGTGGGCTATTTGGGACTGACAGACGCTACTTTTAGGCTCCACTCGTAAGAGGGGCCTCTGCCTGCAGGTTCTGCATCTCTTCCCAAGCACAGCCATCACCTTCCAACAAACTCATTTGAGTCCATTGAGAACTCCTATAAACAGCATCAATTGCTGGCCCCTTTTTTCTTTGTGTTGTGGAAGGCAACGCTGCTTGGAAGCAGGACTAGTTCTGTGCAGAGTGAAATAACCAGCATGCTGCTGGGTGATGGATGTTCACAGAGAGCCGGGGCTGCCAACCCTACTGGGTTTGGAACACAGATCCCTGTCCCCGTTAGGCCAGCCACCCCAGTAATTCTTCTGGCTGTAGAAGCAGCTATTGGTCGAGGGACAGCAGGGAGCATAAAATGCACCTGGACAACTAGGCAATACTTCTTAGAAGAAATAACTGTTTTCCAGCCTCGGGGCTCCCCAGCTTACTTTTTTTATTCTTCAGCAAAATGCTCAGCCTTAGCTTGTAGTGCCTTAAACACGCTCAGGCCAGCAGGGGACAGGGCCCTTCACAACCCTTCTTTCATTGCTACCTCACAGAATACATAAGCTACAGACTACACTAGCCATGTTTATGCTTCTCTTCACTTGGCAGTTCCAGGTATCGGACAGTTACTGAGTTCGCTCCCTGCCTGGGAGGTGAAGTCACTTACGGTTCTGAATGGTGATCTTCCGTTGCTGGTAGTCGATACCCAGCACAGGCTCCTTCTGCCCATATTTCTGGATGACAATGCGCACCTTGCGCTGGCTGTCGTTGCAGTCGTCAGACGGGTCCTGGCCAAGAGCTAACCCAGCCTGGTACGCTACAAACACACATCATCAAATAAGATGCCAAGAGTTATTTCAAAGGACTAATTTCCATCCCTTTGTGAGCTGCAGAGAAACTCCTGAATGCATGTCTGCATTTGCTTTGGTTTAGTAATACAAGGCATGGCTTCACACCAGCAAGGACAAGTTGCTCTGGAGTACTCAAAAGCAAACGGAGGTAGAGCCACAGAGGTTTTGAGAAAGCAGGAGCTGCAGAGGAGATGCCTCCTGTACTCACAACTGAAAGAACAACAGTATAAAGAAGCTAGTGGTGGTAGGACGTGCCCAGTAGGAAGATAAACTGCAATGAAAAAAAGTCATAAAACTCCCAGGAATACTGGAATGGAGACAAAAGTGTGTTCATTTACCAAACAAAACCTCCAGACCTATATGAACCGCTATAGTAGTCATGTCAGCACAGACGTGAACTACTTTTCCTTAGAGCACAGGGAAATATCACCACCTGACCTGGTTTGTGGGCAGGAAGAGGTCAAAAGCCTGTATTCCCCAGTGAGTCTACTTTCCCTTTTCTTTCCGTTTGAAGGGGGATTCCTTGGAGGACAAGCCCGACACTTACAGGCTGAGTAGTAGTCAAAGATGGGGTCCTTGCAGAAGGATTTGAAGCGCCAAGTCACCACCACATCCTGCAGCTGTGCTGAGGTGCTATAGTCACATTTGAGGACGACGGTGGCAAATAAGGTGGTGTAACGCTCAACGTCCTGCACTGTCACCAGGAGGGAGAGGCAACCTGCGAACGAGAGCACAGAAGGCAGTCAGCCAGCAGGACAGACCTCACATCGCAACTTTCACTCTGCACCACACCAGCAACCGAAGGACATTGCCCTTGGCCTCATCCACGACCTGCACCTACGGAGCTCACCAGCTGCTCTGGTGAAGCCATTCACAGTTATAAATCCTGGTCAGAACATCCTGACAGAAGGCAGCTTCAGGCAGCTGCATTGGCCTGCCTTATGGACCGTATTATTTTTTTCAAAACAACCGTTAGTAGCCACGATGTAGCACATTACTCTGTGTTCTCCTGCATGGGTAAAACCATCCCTCCAAGCTGCGGGAGATAATTTGCTGGGCCCAGAAGCATAGAGGATGGGATCGCCTTGTCCTGTCGTCCTAACCAGGAAAGTTCTGCAGCACCATCCATTCACATGGACACCAAATTAATTTTACCAAGGTCTCGCTAGGACAGTCGTCCGAACATTATCTAGTAGTGACCAGGATTAAGACAATACGGCTTTTGGGCTGTAGCATCATAGTTAATCTGTATAACTCTGTAACTTATTCCACTTCAGAACAGCACACATCCATTACCCTTTTTAATGAAGGTAGCGTTAGGTGTGCTTCGAACTCATCCAGAACAACCTCCACAGCATCTTCTGTCCCAGCAGCTGCACCCACTGAGGAAGGCTTTATCAATTTTCTCAGAAGCTATGCTTTATTTTAGTCACACTCCAGAAACATCTCTATCTTATTTAAACTTTGATAATACAGTAAGTTGTGCTTGTCACTAACAATAGCAAAGTTATCGCCAGGTGCCTTCGATAAGGCAATACAAACAGCGCAGAGCAAGCTGTGGGATGCCCCGTCTGGAATACACCCTAGAGAACAGGGCAGGAGTTGCAGTGCTACGCTGGTTGCTTCTTAACTGGGGAGCATGACAGCAGGAAAGGAGGGAAGGAAAGGGGGAGGCTTGGAAGGTACCAGTGGAAAGGGTCACCATGAACCAGCACTCCATTTTTAATCGCACATTCAAAGACTAGCCCTCTACTCCATGTTTTCAAGATGAGAGCAAGGGACTATGGATCATCTGGATCACAACTGCCAGCACCATTCTTCCAGTGTTTTCTTAGGCTGCCCCTGCACAGCGTGTTCTAGGCAAATACAAGCTCACCCAGTTACAACCAGGTAGAAAACATGCTGCAGAGGTGCAAGGTCAATGTAGTGCTTGCTCAGTTTCTAGTCTGAAATGGACTCCTGGTCAGCCAAAGCACAGGCAGAGCAAACTTATTTGCCTTAAAAATACCACACAAACACAGAGGATCAGGGTAGACGCCGAGTCCAAGGCTTTTCTAAAAAGTAAGATATACACACATGCACTTAAATGTAAAAATAGCAGCAGCTGTGCGAACTGGTAGTGAAGACAAGGACCTCTAATTTGTACACTGCAGTAGGCAAGGAAAAGTCAAGATCAGGTACAGGTGGTTACAGTGGCTCTTATTTAACTACACTGCAGTCCAATACATCTTCTTTCAGCTTCCATTGTGCAACAGCTGACCCACAGGATCCTACTGCAGGAAATCACACGAACTCCATCCAAAATCCAAACTCTCAAGACTGGAAAAACCTTGATCTCATTGGTGATCAAATTAATTCCCATATGAACTCTGACCTGCTGAGGCTCATGTAAACAGAACAGATTTTCCATGGGTTTCCCACAGCAGCATCTCTCAGGTGAGAAGAAAATATTCAAAACCACTACACGCTTCACTTCAGGAGCTTTGGCTTCTGTAGGAAGGGGATCCTTTCTCATTACCTCTGCTCTGCGAAAGAGTCAGAGGTGAAAGGGAAGTTCCTTATTTTTTTTAAAGAGGTTAAAAACCTACTGTTCTCTCCGGAGGACAGTCTGGTCTCCGCGTGTCTGATGTTTCACACTAACCAAGAAAACTGAAAAGTTGTGAAATTAAGGCCAATTCCTAAACATGGACTGCACAGCTCCACCGCATGCTGCTATCCTTCTTATCCTGGCTGGAACGAACAAATCCGGACACTACCAACCTCGCAAGTTCCGGCTACCTCAGGCCTATGGCTTCACACCTTCGGAGCCAGCGAAGCCAAGTTTCAGCTGGAACATCATGCGGGAATGTGGGATGTCAAGCAAGACAACCTACAAACACACCTCTGTATTGTTTTGGTTCTTTCACGGGTTCTCTGTGTAAGATTGGTAGTTAAAACTAAACCGTCACCAAAGCG